ATTTCCTGAAAATTTAGGAAAATAATGAAGCAAATTTTCCAGAAATTTAGAGACCGAAATTTCGGACTACCCAGAACCAGAAATTTCCGTAAAAATTTAAGGCTAAAGCACTCCGACGTATAGCGTACCACATAAAACTAAGTTAATCGTAGCATTTTATAGAATCGACGTACGACGCACGACGCAAGATAACGACGACGATGCGCGACGACACCGACGACGACGCGCGTGACGACGACACATGACGACGACGACGCGCGACGACGACTTCGCGCAACGACGACAACGACGCCGCACACGACGCACGACACGCGAGACGTGCGACGCCCGAAGCACGACGCACGACGACGACGATGCCCGACGACGACGACGATACCCGACGCCCGACGCCCGACGCCCGACGCCCGACGAAAGACGCCCGACGCCCGACGCCCGACGCACGTCGCACGTCGCAAGACGCACGACCCACGACGCGCGACGACGACGCCCGACGACGACGACGACGACGACGACGACGACGACGACGACGACGACACCCGACGACGACCACGACGACGACGACGACGACGACGACGACGAACGACGCACGACGCACGACGCACGACCCACGACGCACGACGCACGACGCACGACGACGACGACGACGACGACGACGACGACGACGACGACGACGACGACGACGACGCACGACGACGACGACATGGTAATGCCAGGTAATGCGCTTTGTAATGCCATAAAACAAAGCACGCTCGTAATATCCTGGTAATGCCAGGTGATGCGCTCATCTTGGAAGTGAAGTAAAAGTCCTGTTTAATATTTTAGTTTTGTAATGCCACAAAACAAAGCACGATTGAAAACAATGAAAGCATGCAATGAAAGCATGCAGCAACATGGCAAATGATCAATACCTGAACTCAACGGTTCAAGCGGTCAACAATGCTTCGACATTTTCGGCCACCCAGCACCCTAAATTTTCCGGAAATTTAGGGAGCTGGGCCGTGGCTTCTGAACATGATCAGGCTGCATCCGTTTCCTAAATTTCCTGAAAATTTTGGGTGTGTAAATTTTCGGAAATTTAGGAAAGCGATGAAGCAAATTTTCCGGAAATTTAGGGACCGAGGCTTCGGGCTACCCGGAACCAGAAATTTTCCAGAAATTTAGGGGAGCGAATCCGGCTTGCGGCCGTCGAAGAGGCCCAGCCTTTCAAAGGGCACAGCCCAAGCCCCAAAATTTCCCGGAAATTTTGGGTCCCGGGTAGGCCAAAGCGGCTTGCTCGCCGGGGTCCAGAAATTTCCGGAAAATTTTGGGGCTGGGGCACTCCGAAGCGTGACGCACCGCATAGGGCTGGTTTGACCGTAGCGTTTTATAGAGTAGATAATTGAATGAATTTGAGATCTTGCTTTCATTTTTGATTCAAGATTAAATCTCCATACCTCTCTTTCAAGAAATAATATAGAACATCATTCGAAGGTCGTTCCACAAGAACCTCGCATCGGAAATCTTAACCCTTTTTTCCATCAAGGATAGATTTTGGATGTCCTCGTCCTGATGGACACCTACATCTTTCTTTCACTGATCATATGTTAATTATGCTTGTAGAGAAATTTCATTTTTCATGTCTAATATATTAATTATTCTATAAAGAGTAAAATGTACCAGATCTGTCGTGTTTGTGACACCAAACATAGTCAGCATCCAACTCCACAGCTGCGGAACCAAGCCCTCAACCATTGCCTCCTAGAGCCACTGAACATCCAGAAGGGCCAAGCGCATTTCACTGAAGTTCTGCACGTAGCTGCGTCTTCAAACATATGCATTTCAAGCATCATAGGCTTCACAGGGTTTCCTGCAGCACGTTTCAGCACGCTCATCGTTCGTCATTGCCATCCACAGGGTGGCACACGCAGCAGCAACAACCAGCACACCCTGGGAAGCTTGGGAAAGGTGTCACGGCTCTGACGCCTCTGCAGACTTTAACAAGCAGCTGAATCACGAGGGACATCCAGCTGCACGCAGCTTGTCCCCAGCCTCCTTCAGCTTGTTGGCGATCCACGCAACATGTGCTTCGTCTACCGCAGGCCAGGATGTGCCAGGCTCTCTGAGCTCCTGCGCAGCCTTGGGGCCTAAGAGGAAGGAACGGGCAAACTCAACCTGAAATACGGCGTTCCGATTCGCCTTGCAACTGGGCAAACGCTTTGCCCAGTCTCGGACCTCGTGGCCTCCAGGGTAGGGCCGATTGAAGGAGACCGGCTCCATGTATGCGAAGCCTTTCGGCTTCATGAAATCTTGCTCTCCGGCCTGATCGAAAGCTTCCGCCCAAGCTCTTGCGATGCAGCGAAGATCAGGACCTGGCATCAACGGCGTTGTGCCTTCTATGGCATCGCCTACGACATCTCCTTGGTTGCCGAAGTTGCAGAACGGAGGCATTCGGTCCTTCTCTGGCCTCTCAACAACAAGAGCCCCATCTGCTCTCATTTTCCAGTTGTTCGTGTCATGAAAACCAATGACAGTCAAGGGCCTCCCCACCCGAGCGGCGCGCACCAGCTCCATGACCTGATCCCGAGCTGCTTCGTAAGCCAAGGGCCCCTGAGCCGCCGAGGTCTTCAACGCCGCTGTGAGCTTTGGCCAATCTGCCTCTGTCGGTTCAAGTAGCACGTCCTCCCCTGAGAAAGTCACGGGCCTCACCTGGTCCACCCCCGCCAGTGAGGCGCCTCTGTCTTGCCGAAGCCGGGCGAAGCACTGGCGCAGAGGTGCCTCCGGCTCGATGCCATGCTCTCTGTTTGGGTCGACCACCACGCGCGAGTGAGGGTTCTCCACAAAAACCACCTTACTGTCAGCAGCCGCCCAGGCTCGACCCACCGGGCCAGTGATAACATCTGAGAAGTCATACTGCTTCCGTCGACTCAGAGAGGTCGAAATGAAGGGCTTCAACTCCTCGGGGAAGGCTGCTGAGGCATGAGGGCCCAAAACCACCGTGTCGATGTGCTCGGCCACATCCTGAAACTTCTTTCCGCTTTCTTTGCCCTGCCAAAAAACCAAGTCTTCAAAGCGAAATTGTCGGCCAGCTGGAATCCAGTGCAAGTCCCCACTCTCCCCACTCTTGAGCTGCCCCTCATCCTCATACGGATTCTTTCGCTTGACGGACATCTTTTCTAGACATGTGGGGGTGAAACGCTGTGCTGGAAGAGTGGCCAGCCACAGGTGTAACGATGGAATTGCTAGCTTGAGAGAGCGCATAGGCTGCCCAGCAGACTGGAAAACTTCAGGAGATATTGCGAAAGGGGGGAAGAGAGCATGACTGATGCGCTAGCAGACCCCTCATAGTTTAGAACGTAGATTGGAGTGCTCATCTTCATCAGGAGCTTCCTAAGCGGGGCCGGAGGCTTTTGCAGAAGCAGCCAGACGACCATCGAACTCCGAGGATATTCCTCCTCTTCAACAGACCTATCAGTGACTAACAGTGACGGACAAAGCTCGGCATGCACGTTGCATGCAAAACCCATAAATGGACCCATGCAATATGGAAACTCGATGATCAAGCTCCGTAGCCCTCGCCCCAGCCCTGGAAAACAATGCAATACTTACTCCACCTACACTCCAACTCATGTCGCCACATTTGTGTGCGTGTGTGTGCGCGTCTCCGATGGGAAGTTGCCAATTGCGTAAGCAACGCCCTGACGTGTCCTGGTACGGTGGGGGCGGAGGGCGGGGGGGGGGGGGGGGCTTGCAACGGAGCCAAGGTATGCACAATTGGTTGTCAGCCGATTTTGAGCGAAGCTCGCAGTTCTCGGGCAAGGCAGTTGTTGCCATCGAATTGTCATGGTGGTGCAAAGAGATATAGACAACGTGCATCCACCATCAGCGCCCGCATGGTACCACAACCGCAACGTTGTTGAATGACTACTGACTGTAGTTGTCTCCTCTCAACAGCGTTCCCCTAGAGGGCATTTGCAGGGCACCACGCGGGTTAAAACTCACCCTCTCGTCACTCCTTTCGGCTTCCCTCCATTGACATCCCAGGATTAGGGCTCTTCGGCCCCTAGAATCCTCATAACCAACCCTACGACGGGCATTTTTTTTAGGGCATTTTTTTAGGGGTGATAGGGTATAATAGCCCTAAACCCTAAACCCTAGACCCCAAACCCTAAATCACCCGTCCTGGGATCAAGAGGGCTTGCTGAGCTGCTTCCGCTCAAGTGACTTTGCCTTCCAACCATCGATCATGGCCTGAACCTTGGCGAGGCGCGAGAAGGTGGAGAAATGGTCAATAAGCATAATACTATTGAAATTATTCTGAAAATTATTAATATGATTAATATGATGAATATTATTCATATTATTGGTATTATGAATATTATAAATAGTATTAATACTATTAATATTATTAATATTTTTAATATTATTAATATTATTAAGATTATTAAGACTATTAATATTGTTAATATTAGAAAATATTATTGATATTATTAATATTATTAATATTATTAACATTATTAATATATTATGTATTAATATTATTAATATTATTAATATTATTAATATTATTAATATTTTAACATATTATTATATTATAAATTAAATATTATTAATATTATTAATATTGTTAAAGTTAGTTATTAATATTTTGTTCATATTAATATTGTTTGTATTTTCTTATAAATATTATAGTACTATAAATATTATAAATATTATGAATATTACTCATACTATTAATATCATGAAATATTTTTTAATATTACTAATATTGCTTATTTTTTTAATATTATATATTATTCTTTTAGTAGTATTCATATTATTAATATTTTTAGTCTTATCAATATTACTAATATTATGAATATTATTAATGTTATTAACATTCTTAACATTATTAACATTATGAATACTATCAAGATCATTGATATTATTCAAATTATTAATGTTCTGAAGATTATGAAGAATATTCATATTATTCATATTATTAACATTATAAAATACTAATATTATTTCTACTCACTAATATTCTAAATATTACTAGTAGAAGTCTTGGCTGGATTAGGGTTTAGGGGTTTAGGGCGGGATTTAGGATGAGCCGCACAGGCCCCCTGTGCCACAAGTTAAGCTTCTGACGCCACTGCCATCCAGCTCCTTCGCCATCTTGCCCACGTAAAAGCCGCCTACTTTTCTTTGTCATTTCATGCAGTGCCAGGACGGGCTATTATAACCGCCTAGAACTATAACCCCTTAAAACCACCCTTTGCAGGGTTGGTTATGGGGACTATAGGGCCGAATCGCCCATCCTGGTGTAGTGGCTCTACCAGCACCTGCCTTCATCGGGAATGTCAAGAAGAATCAGGGTGGGCGTGTCGGCGGAAATGGTTCGTAGCAAGGATGGACCTCGGTGGGAGCAGCACGAAAGCAAGCGCAACGTGTCGAAGCTTTGAGCACGTCGCCTGAAGGGTCCTCGCTCTTGTCCACTTTCCGAACCTCCAGCAGCTAGCAATGTTTTGAGCGATTAGCAGCTCAGGGTCTCGACATGTCTCAGAGCTCCCTGGCACGATACTTCAGAAATTCTGAAACTAGCCCCTGCTGTCGCTCTGAAAGCGTTGCGAGATGTGAGCTCCGATTGGCCAAGACCATCTGCAGCAGCCTTCTCCACGCTCTCAAGGCCACAGATTGCGCGAATCTGAGTGGAAACCTGGCCCGCTGAACCACGATTTATCAAGCGCAAAGCAAGTGGATGTGAACTGGACTTCTCTTGGCGTGTTTCGCATGGTGGCCGCATGAGTGGGTGTGCCACGACACAAGACTGAGGCTTGTGCTACAGCGGCCACAGACAATCTCATATGGAGCAATGTCTTCGTGCCGCACCCCCAACCTAGCTGTGTGTACAGACAGCGCATGATGATAATTGTAGTTTGGGATGTTCCCCCTTATACTACCAGTCCCCAATAGGGATCACCGAACCCCCCTGTTACAATCTCCATTAAGGTCCTTACTAGGGATGATTGTCCCCCTATCATAATCCCTGTAAAGGACTCTTACCCTAAACCCTAAACCCTAAACCCTAAACCCTAAACCCTAAACCCTAAACCCTGTACCCTAAACCCGAAGTGTAAGGGTGAACCTCCCAAACTGCAATGCTTCTCACCGCCTTATTGGGCGGCTCCTTGCTCCGAGAGGCTCCACTTGGCGTTCGGGAGGCGAAGAACAGCATTTCCTGAGAAGTCAGTGGCCGTTAGGGTTTAGGGTTTAGGGTTTAGGGTTTCGGGTTTAGGGTTTAGGGTTTCGGGGCGTGGCGCCCAATTTCTTGGGGACTTCCCAAAATGGGGGAAGGGGACCCCTCTGTTGGGAAATGCGGGTTTGCACGTGTGTACCCGATGGCATTTTTCTAAAGGTATCGTCTTCAGGAGTTGAGAGTTCTGCTTGACCGGTCCGATGCCGCTGGAGGGCTGCTCAAACTAGAGTCCTCCTATGTCCCCCTGAAGTAGGTACTCCTTGTGCTCGCATGCCTTCTCGAAAGATCCCACCGAAATTAAGTCCGAATCATCCCGAATCTAAACCCTGATGGTGACTCCATGGGTTTGAGCGTCGCGATGACTAATGGAAAAGATTCATCGGAGCCTTAAAACCCTCAGCCATGTGCTGAGTGCTGTGAATTCGAAAAGTCGCGAACTAACGCAATCTGCATAGCTCTCGTGCGCGCATGTGCCAAGAAAACCTCCCAGCTGAGATTCAAGATGGCGCAAACTGGCTCAAGCCCCTCCAAACTTGGGACTCGACGTCTCATCCCCAAGCAAGATGTAATCTGTAGCTTCTGCAACTCCCCCAGTTTGAGCCATCTGGCGGCTCAGCTCGCGCGCTGCAAGCCGGAAGGAGTTCTCACCGTTCTCACCCGGTTCCAGCATCTGTCTCACAGCCGATCGAAGAGCTGCCGGCGACAAGGTCTCATTGGGGAACCTGAATGAGATGGCGGCCCCCGTGTTCGACAAAGCATCGGCATTCAGGGGCTGGTCGCCAAACAACGGCACCACGATGAGGGGCAAGCCCAGGCCCAGAGCCTCATGCACACTGTTGGCGCCACCGTGCGTGATGAAGACATCACACATCTGAAGCAGCTGCAACTGTGGAACGACTTCTTGTAGGATGAAATTCTTCGGGGGAGGAGGGAGATTTTCGAGCGCGTCGGCCTGGGGGCCAATGGCGGCCACGACTAAGACGTCTTCATCCTGGAAGGCCTCGAAGGCTGTTTTCAGCACCAGCTGGACAAACTCCTTGCCGCTAAAGTCTTCTAAGCCGTTGCTTCGCGCTGTTGGTCCGAATTTTCTGGCCCAGAACGATGAAGTTGCTACAGTGCCCATAGAGAGGTAGACGATAGGCTTCGACTTCCGTGCCTCATTGATGGTCTGCCATGGCAGCTCCTTGTCGAGCTGCTCTGCAGAAGCCCAGGCATGCGAAATTCTCTCTACCTTTGAGCTCACCATGGGACCTATACATCGGAAGGGGATCTCTGACATGCGCTCCTTCTGCAAACTTGACAGCGGGGGTGCAAACAACCGCTGAAAGGTTGTGACGGTGTTTCGATCAGGTGAGTAGAACTCGCCAACGGCGCCCTGCGCGAAGATGTCGACGTCGTACAAGTCTTTGATCTCTCGGACGGCTCTCTGAACTGCCGGGTTCTTCTCCCACTGCAGGCTAACCTCTGCTCGAGTACTTACTACGCCGGGGCCAGTGTAGCTCAAGAGGCTAACTGAGGGAATTTTCAGGTACCGGGCAGCGACAAGGCCTTGTGGCAAAAAAGGGTCATAAGCGATGAGTGACGGCCTGGGGTGCATCATCTCGAGCTCATTTGTGAGACTGGGGAGAATCCCAGCAGCAACAGGAACTGTACTGGCCGGGAAGATGCAGCTGCTCTTCGGAAGGTCGCCTAAGTACCTTGCTGCCTGCTCCTCAGTCAAGTCATGGGGCCTCTGCATAGGGCGCCACGTCGCACCGGTGGCCTCCACCACCTTTCGGAACTGCTCGTGAACGTAGTAGGTTACCACAACTCCACGCGACGCGAGCTCCGCAACGATGGGCAGCGATGGGTTCACGTGGCCAGTTGACGGCATCATGATGAACACCACATGCCGTTCCGTCATCCCAGCAGCGGCGCCTTCAATCAGACTTCGGGGCTTGAGAACGATGCAGCTGCAGTACGTGCCCTATGGCGTCCTGCAAACCCCTGTGCACCCGCAGCTTCACTTCCAAATGCTTGCAAGGACTCCCCACTCTTCACGTACTTTTCCGCGATGGGGGTGACAGCATCGATGATCTTCTTCTGCAGAGCCGGCTCGCAACCTGAAGCAGCCCAGTGGGTGTAAGGGTCCTACTCTCCCAATTTGTTGAATATTCCTAAATCCAAAATCTGAATCCTGAAAGAGCATCTGCAACAGTCAAGAATGCCATATGCCGTCCCAGAAACTTTCCAGCATGAGGCACATTGACGGCGTCTCATTGATTCCCTGCAGGCATGACAGTGAAGCTGCATGGGAAACCGCACAGCCGCCAACCATTGATACAGAGTCGTAGAAGGACGTCCAATCTGGGGCAATGTAGCTAACAAGACCCGACCCAAACCCGAAGTACCGTGCTCTCAAAACTCGAAAAACTCTGAACCCCACCCACACCCCAGAAACCCCAAAAAAGGCCGAACGGGTTCTCTCGATGCTCACTGCTCTACACACTGTAGCAACCTGAAACAACCCTACACCTTTCTTTTCTCCCAGAAATTGAAGCACCCTAATTAAACCCTAAACCCTAAACCCTAAACCCTAGGCCCAAAAAGCGGCCTCAGGCTCCTCCATGCTAGCGATGACAGGAGGATGCCACGGAAACTCACCTTGAAAGGGGCTAAGTCGTAGTGTCAAGGACTGATAGGGCGTTTAGGGTTTAGGGTTCCGGGTTTAAGGTTTATCGAAATACATATATACATATAAAAATACATATATCGAAAGTAAGAACAGCTCAACGACTTTTGTTCCAGATCAAGAACGAACACAAAGCAAAATCACAGTTAATTAGGAAGAAGGACGCTAGAATGATCATAGTGGGTGAAGGGCTATAAGTAAGGTATGGTATTCTGGCGTATGTAGATAAGGCTGCTTGTCGTTTTCCAGAGACGTTCGGTTCAGTATCGACCTAGTCCATCTAGAATCCTGGGCCAATGCCGAGGGGTGAGGTTGCGCTGTGCCTGACATGCGCCTCTTCAACTCAAGCTACTTTAACAGCGCAGGCAATGGATGGTCTTCCCTGGAAGAGCTTGCTTAACCCGTCCAGCACGCCAAGAATGAGCAAGGCCATGTTGCTGGCAGGTGCGCTGGTCAAGGATCGCCCGTTCTTGTTGATAACTTTGCCTTCCGGGCTGACGATCCTGTGACAGCAGCACAAGCTAGCCAGAGTCCTACATCAAAAACTCGGAAACGCATAAGTATCCTTGACTGCGACCCTTGTCGTACTTTCGGGCTTAGTTCTAGGCTGAGCCGAGGGCGTCATTTCAGGCTATCCGCCGAGGTTCAGGAAAGTCGGAATGCCCTGGATTTCGAAGAGTGAATCCAGGTCATCTTTTCGGTCGAATGGCATAGCCAGCCAGCTTCCTCAGCGAATGCATTATGTTGGATGCGGATGGATGCTGCTGCAGTCCCCCAAAAGCCCGCACCCCCAAGAGGCCAAAAGGCCCCCAAATTTTCTAAGACTTAAGGACCATCTTCCCATGGGCCAACTTCTGGGCTTCGAGGGCATCGGGTTTCGTGTTGGGGCCTAGGCTTTAGTGTTTAGGTTTAGGGGTTCAGGGATGCCAACGAGATGGGCAGTTGAGCCCTAAACCCTAAACCCTAAACCCTAAACCCCAAAACCCTAAACCCTTAAACCTTAAACCCTAAACCCTAAAACCCTAAACCCTAAACCCTTAAACCCTAAACCCTAAACCCTAAACCCTAAACCCTAAACCCTAAACCCCAGAAGAAGCTGGAGGCTCCACCGGCGGCCCGATGCTCTTTGTAATACTCTTTCATGGAGCCCTCGTCCCTGTCGCCGCTGCAGAAGATGATTTCAAACTTGTCTCCAAGCTCTGACCTGAGTTTAGGGTTTAGGGTTTAGGGTTAGGGTTTGGGGTTTCAGGGTTTAGGGTTTGACCAAGCACTTCTCCAGAAAGCACCCTGCAAAGACAAGCCCCTGAGAAATTGTGACGCCTATACGTGATAAGAAGTATACCTACATGGTCCTGTTATTGTGGCTCTCACTGTTCTTCCAACTTTTCTCTTGGATGTGATGTAATTGATGGTTGCAGAAAGTTCCCGTATATACTTTCTGGAGCGCAGGGGGGAAGGGGGCGGGGATATTGGCAAGGGAGTACTCTCTTACAGTAGTGACGACGGTTGGACGAGGCTACCGATGCGTGTTCCGTTGCTCTCTCGAAACCCGATGAGGGTTTAGGGTTGTGGGTTTGGGGCTTAGGGTTTAAGGTCTGCTGATCTGAGCGTCTTGATGCCCGCATACCACTTGGCCAGCACTGGCGTAAATGCTCGGCATGGTGGACACCTCAGTGAATACGTTGCCCACTAGACCTTCAACAAACGGCTTATCCCAACCCCTACTTTTGCTAATCTCCTCAGTCGCCCCCCAAATTTGGAGGGCCCTCTTCGCCGTCTTCCACCCTAAACCAACCCTAAACCCAAAACCCAACACCCTAAACCCTAATTCCTCTCCGCCAAGATGCCAGTGTGCAGAAAAGTACAAGCCCAAGGTCTTTCCTTCCTTAGACGATCTTGCTGCCATTCCCTAATATTACTTAGGGTTTAGGGTTTAGGGTTCAGGGTCCCTGTGCAGCGCCTGCTATGATAACAATGCGTTAACAAAGCAAGGCTTAGTTGTCCAGTATCCGAATAAAACTAACGGTTAACATTTGGGGTTTATCAAGGGACTAGAAAGAACCCAAAAAGGTTAAAGGTTACCTACTCTACTACTAAGAAGGAGTTGACACAATATGGATCTAGCGTCAATCTTCTTCTTGTCAACAGTCTCATCCCCATCCAGGAACTTGTCGCCCAATGCTTCCTTGCGCGTGGCAGTGTAGAGAGCAGCACATACGTCGCAACAACGTGCCCTGATCAAAGCAGGAAAGCTTCCCCAACTGAAAGGAGCTCAGCTTAGTCGGACGTGGTTGACACCATGCCTTCGGGTCTTTGGGATCCAACAGAAAAAGGACGTTCAGCACAGGTCTGTCGTCTACATTCGTCTACCACAACAAGTGGTGAATGAGAATCTGCACACAACCTTGCCTCCTCCTAGCAATGTGGACTTCATGCCCTAGCACCAAGCCCTAAGCCCTAAGCCCTAAGCCCTAAGCCCTAAGCCCTAAACCCTACACCCGAAGCCAGACTAGAGCACGGTCCTGAAATGTTGGCGGTATCCAGGGGAACTTCTTACCTGTCCGGCAAGATCGCAAGGACTGTGCACTTCGCAGTTTCTTCGGACACGCCGTGCTTTCGTTGCTCAAGTCTTCCTGATTATAGTTCAACTGTGTGCCAGAGAGATTCAACCCTAAACCCTAAACCCTAAACCCTAAACCCTAAACCCTAAACCCTAAACCCTAAACCCTAAACCGTGAACCCTGAACCCTGAACCCTGAGCCCTAAACGACCACCAAGGTCCTCTTTGCAAGGAGCCTTCGGGATCGGACATGACAGCGCTGCGCCCCTCCGTGGTAATGACGGAGCCGTTCTCTACGTTGAGGATGACAAACCTGAGATGTTCGCTAGCGCGTGACTCCGTGAGTCCCCTTGCAGCTAGGATGGCTTTAAAACCTTCTGAAAAATATTCCTACATATGATCCTCTTGTCTTAAACCCAATAACAGGAAATTTGCAATATCCCAAGTGCCTTCCAGGCAGGGAAAGACAAGTGACGTAGGAATTCCGCTGACCTTGAACTTCTTGGAAAGATCTGCCTGCCAGCTTTCTGTGGGCTCGTGGGCGCTCTAGGTCAAGCCATCTGTGCGCTACCAATAAACGCAAGTGCACCAAGTGCTTAAACAGCTCCAGATCCGTATGTGGCAGTTTACGTCTATCACTTCTGATGGGATTCTCGGATGAACATGGTACCAGAATCAGAACATCAGCCATCGACTCTTTGCGCCTCGTTCTCCCCCCTGCCCCTCTGCCCCTGCCCGGATTTTTGTGTTTAGCTTCGGCCTTCTTCGTCCGCTCACCGTAGGGAAGCGCGAGCCATGGCCTTGTCTCACGTAAGCACAAGTGAGCCATATGGGGGGTTACATTCAAAACAAGGGCCCCAATAAGGGACCCCTAGTTTCGGAAACCCCCCCACATTGAGGGTACTTCAGGATCAAGGTTTAGGGTGCTTAGATTGTGGGTTTCGGGGTAGTTCGTCGTGTATCCAAATCACTGATGCAATGAAGCCTCAAAAATCCAAACAGCCGCCAGAAGAAAAGCGCAGGTCAACGGCCCAAACCAACCAAATATGCTGCTGCACAGCTGCTCCGCGACACTGAATTATTCAACCTGCCTAAAGCAATGCTGCTGGGTGTCATCTCACCATGGTATGCCTTGAACTCGTCTTCCGTATCTCAGCGCAAACATGCAGCTGCCAACCGCGGTAGCAGTTTAGCAGCGTGGAGTGAGACCATGAAACACAACAAGAGAAAGTTGCACCCAGCCGGCAAAGACTGAAAGCAGAAGGAGGTGCAGCAGATAATTCTGCCGGGCAGCTGTCTGAGGACACGAACACTACCTCGAGACCCTTGACCATGAGGTGACTTTTGTATGCTTCTGCGAGCTTTGGTGTAAATCCACCTGAGCATTGCGATGGCATCACAGAAGTCATGCTTGTCCGTGGCATCCACGCCTTCCCTACTCACGGTCCAAGAGGGTTTGGGGTTTAGGGTTTAGGGACCCGATTCTTCACCTTGCACTCTGCCTCGCCGTGTATCATGTGGGATTTGATCCCAACTCTGGTAACTATGGGCCCTTTGCGGCCTTGACTCAAGTACTCATCATTTAAATCCTTAAGTGTCAATGCAACTTAGACACCGAACGACACAAAAAACAAAGTTGCCGCCGAGCCTGAAAAAGTACCCCCTAATGCTTCTGTCTACGCCTAAGCTCCCTACACATTGGCGAATTGCTTTCTTGAAAACTCAGTACATGTGAAACATCGTAAATCGACATATTGTCCCTTTTTTGCGGGGGCATGTACTCTTCAAACAACAGTCAGCGAGGCCACGCTTGGGAAATGATGGGACATGAGTTATGTAACTTCCAGCATGGCACAACCTTGGCCCCTAAACCCTAAACCCTAACTAAACAAGGGTTTTAAGTTTAAGGGCTCTCTCCAAAAGCCTTCAGCGAGCTCTTCCCTATATGTATACCCAGTGTAACAGCAAGTGCTTCAGAGTGCCGTATTAAGAGCAAGCACTGTTGGGGAGCGGGCTGAGTGTCTTTGCTACAATCTGACTGCGTACAAGAAACGGCACGGAGGGCACCTTGGAGGGGGCAGCAAGAAAGGACCCCCAATGAGCAACTTGGATCCACCCACGTGCAGCTTAGTTGAGCCGAACCTGACGTATCAAAAGAGCTCATTCTTAACTCCTAGGCCAGTACGTGACACAGCTTCTGTTTCGATCTACTGTCGGTGCCAACGAACAGACCGAGCCTGTTCAGCCAGGCGACCAGTGGGCTGAAAAGTAGAGCCCTACAGCCTTCTTGCCCTCGAAAACGGTTGCCGTGTCGACGGTCTCGCCTGGTCACAGGCCCATGGTTCTGAGATGTGCCTGTGCTTCTTGTGGGCTCTCGATTCTTGGCACCCGCTGCTCACGCAGCAATGAATGAGGAGCAGAACCATGCCCACCTCCCGGCTTAAGCAGCTTTTCCTGAGACAGGGAATAAGGAAGGGCTGGTTTTGCAGAGAAGTTGGTCGAAACCCTAAACCCTAAACCCTAAACCCTAAACCCTAAACCCTAAACCCTAAACCCTAAACCCTAAACCCTAAACCCTAAACCCTAAGCCCTAAACCCTAAACCCTAACAACCCTAACAACCCTAACAACCCTAACAACCCTAACAACCCTAACAACCCTAACAACCCTAACAACCCTAACAACCCTAACAACCCTAACAACCCTAAACCCTAAACCCTAGGAGTGTGCCGGGGGATCATCATTTTTCCTCAAGTGGCGCCGAGTAGTTGAATCGCAGACGACTTTGCCTCTGCAGATGCACCACCTCGGCTCATGCTTTCATGGGGATAGATTGGGATGTTCCCCCTTATACTAACAGTCCTGAAAAAGGGATTATGGTACCCCCTACTATAATCCCCATTAAGGACTGTTAGGGGGAACATCCCAAGGGATAGATAGGGAACGATTTGACGCAGAGCAATGCTCGAAAGCGCTGTCAAGTGGCTCCCCATTGCGGCAAGTGCCAAAGAGAGGGCTCGGCTAGAATTACACTATTTGCTACCGGCTCACAGCTGAAAAAGCAGCCAAGGGCACCTTTCGCCCTAGACCCTAAACCCTAAACCCTAAACCCTAAACCCTAAACCGTTTTTGTTTTTCGGAGCTGCGCAACCCTCGGGGTGCCAGCGTGAAAGGTTGGTCTCTGGAGTCGCTAGGTGCACGACGGGGAAGGAGTGCCGGTTCAACTGGCTCCTATACTCCCCTTAATGGGGTTTAGGGTTTAGGGTCTAGGGTGTAGGGTTAGGGCCTAGGGTCTAGAACCTTAACGACATTAATATTTTTAGTATTCCCATGGGTTTTATGTAAACCAAAAGACCTTATGGACTCCTCAGTGTGAGCCCACGGGCAGCTCAGGCTTGAGGCTACGAGCATGACTGCTGGTTTGGGGTTTAGGGTTTAGGGTTTAGGGTTCAGGGTTTAGGGTTTAGGGGGCGCTGCGCTACCTTTTGAAAACATCCACGCGGGCTTCGGGACCTTGGGCCCTGAATCGCACGGGTGAGACGTGTCTCATGTCACATAAATCTATTCTAGGCTACACATAACTGCCTGCACAGGCACTGCCAGACCATGCCAGTTTTGTCCAGCGTTCATCTTTTTTCTATTTATTTATTTACTTACCTATTTTTGTTTTAATCTTGTAAATTTGCGTTATAGCTATTCTTGATGTTATTAATTTTGGGGTATCCCCTATAGAGTCTGCTATAGAAGGCGGTTGCAAGCGAAGAGCTACGTCTGGCGTGCCGCATGCGTTCTTGTAGGCCTCCCGCTCACCCATATTCGGGGCTCCGGGTCTTCCCAACAGCATCGCATGCTGTGCAGGATACCCTGCCTCGGCACTTGGGGCTGTCCTATCGCCCAGATTGCGGTCTCGGTGTACACCAAACTACTCAGCCCAAGGCATCGAACCTGCACAGCAGATTTAGGCCCGTGGCTCAGGCCTGCGAAGCCGTCGGCACCTCCACCGCTTGTGTACTGTACTTGTTGATGCGGTTTAGGGTGCCTTCGGGTAGGGTGCCTTCGTGTGCCTTCCCTATCCCTGAGGCTTGAGGTCATCATCTTTCATCAGGCGCCGGGCCTCGAGCGTGCCTCCACAATACATGGGACAGCCTTGGCCCTGGTAAATCCCCAACACTTGCCTCGGTTTCTACCTGGACTGCGACCCCACGGCTTACTGGCACAGGTTCGGGATCAGATCAGGAAACTACCCTCGAAGGAAGCTTCGTCCACCCCCAAACCCCCCCTCTGAACCCCAAACTCTCAACTCCAAACTTCGAAGATCCCAAGAACCCACCGAAAGCCTCTGAGAGATCCATAAACCCGAGAACCATACTGACCTTTATTTCTTAGGAATTTCTAGTGCCCGAAAATCAATTTTTCCCAAGTATCCCTAAGAGAGCACCTGCACACTGGTAGATCAAAGTCTGAAGAAGAGAACACTGAAAGCCCAACAACCCGAAGCAAAACCGCCCTCAAACCTCCCTAAGCCTCCCTTCGACCTCCTTCGCCCGACCCCTAAACCCGAAAACCCGAAACCCTCAAACCCTAAACCCTACAACCGCAAAACCCTAAACCCCATCCCAAAACCCTAAACCCTAAACCCTAGCCCTAAGCCCTAAACCCCAAAAGCCGAAAACCCCTCAAAACCCTAAACCCTAAGACCCTGAACCTGAACCCCCCAAAACCCTAAAACCCTACATCCTGAACCCCAAAAGCCTAAACCCTAAACCCTGCAACCCAAAACCCTACACGCCAAAACCTAAATCCTGAACCCAAAACCCCAAACCTAAACCATAAACCCTAAACCCTAAAACCTAAAAACCCTAACACCCTAAAACCCTAAACCCTAAACCCTACAACCCTAAACCCTAAACCCCAAACCCCAAACCCTAAACCCTAAACCCTAAACCCTACAGCCCAAGAAGGAGCCTTCGACTTGGATGGGGACCTGGAGTGGCTGCGCTCCGAGCGCTCGGAGCGCTTGCCGGGGGACTGGCTGCCCGAGCGGCTCCGCGCGCTGGCGCCTCGAAAAGATGGGTTTAGGGTTTAGGGTTTAGGGTTTAGGGTTTAGGGTTTAGGGCTAGGGTTTAGGGCTCAGGGTTTAGGGCATAGGGTTAGAGTTTAGGATTTACTGCAGTAGGGTCTAAAAACGGGTGCAGGGGTGATGGGCTGCAACTCTGGGGTTTTCAGGTCGCGGTTTCGGGGTGTGCGAAATGATGGGGTGTCCAGTGAGCGTCTAGGATGGCCCTTACAGCCCTCTGAAAAATCTTTCTACATTATGATCCTCTAGCCATGTGGTGTAAAGAAACATCCCAAGGGGCTACCTAGTTAATGGCATCACACTCTTTTCACATCTTTCACCAGCAAGCGGTCTAGACGGTTCTCAGTAATATAGGGGCCTTACTGATTAGAATAGGGTTGGGGGTTATTATAGTACAGTATATTCGTATATTTATAAAGGGACCAGAAGGGAATACTATTAATCATTATTCCGACCCCTATATTACGTATCCTTGCCTGCTGGCGGCGCTGCGGGCAGTACCACGGGTGCCCCTGGACGCTCGAGGATGCTCCTTGCAACGTCTTGAGGTTCCGGGTTGATGGCTTCTGGAGTTGAGGGGCCGTGCTGCTCTAAACCCTAAACCCTAAACCCAAAACCCTATACCCTCTGGGTTATGCCTCCAGCTATGAGGGGGCGCAGACTGCTGTGATGAAGTGCCTCGCGTCCAGGTTGGAGATGCCACGGATACTGTCGAGGTTGATGTTGGGATCATCACGACCTCAGCAAGCTGAGCCGCCACCGCCCACGCCGCCCCCCCTCCTCCCCCCCGATAATTTGGGACCCAAAGAACTGAAGCCATGTTCGACTCGGAGCACCTTGGCTCCAACTCTCTGACTGCTTCTGGCCATCTCAGCCCAAGGCCACTTAATGAGAAAGCGGTCTTCTTCTTCGCCTCAGTCCAGGGGGAGAACCGTCTGCCATCTCACCCCACCTACACTCAGAAGTTAGGTTCAGCTAAGCCTTGAAGGTAAAACTCACCCTCCAACAAGGTTCTCAACGCCTTGGCTTGACATCAGGCCAAAATCCTCGGCTGCAGGTCTCCCGGGTGAAGCCCATATTACCCCCCCCCCATCACATAACCCCCCACTCATGTACCCCCCACCCCCAACATAGTATCAACCCTTCTGAGCCCCCTACAAGGTGTCATGGTAGGTTACCCTAAACCCTGAACCCTGAACCCTAAACCCTAAACCCTGAACCCTAAACCCTGAACCCTAAACCCTAAGCCCTAAACCCTAAACCCTGAGCCCTAAACCCTAAACCCTAAACCCTAAACCCTAAACCCTATGTTAATGGCTGGCCTGGTCGATCGCGTCCTGGAGGAGATGGCCCGGCCTCCGCATGGCCATGATATCGCAGAGGCCGTTGCCATGACTACACTGGGGCACTTGAATTAGGGGTCCTTCTTGGGTTTAGGGTTTAGGGTTTAGGGTTTAGGGCTTAGGGCTTAGGGTAGTTTAACCAGGGTGCTTTTCTTTGGGTTTAGGGTTTAGTGTTTAGGGATTGGGGGTAGTTTTACTAAACTAGATTTTTTTTTTTTGTTGGGGGGGGGGGGGTTAGGGTTTAGGGTGTAGGGTTCAGAGTAGTTTAACTAGGGTGCCTTTTTTTTTTTTTGGGGGGGGGTCCTATCAGAAACCACGGCACCCTTCTGATGATGATTCAGAGACCTAGCCCTAAACCCTAAACCCTAACACCTAAAAACCTAAAACCTATACCGACAGACTCCACATGGCGGAGTCTTCCCCGATAGGGCCGCGGCACCAGCGAGGTGGCCTCAAGTTGACAAGCAACGTCTTTTGAGGGTTTAGGGTTTAGTGTTTAGGGTTTAGGGATTCGGGTTTAGGGTTTAGTGTTGAGGGCTGAGACGCCTTCTCCAGGTTTTTCAGGTGCAGAGCTCATCGCAATTCCGGGGCATGGGCCACATCTTGCATGGACGGCGGCGCGCCTTGCGCAGCGTCTAGGGTCTGGGGCCGAGTCTAGGGTCTAGGGTTTGGGGTTTAGGGTTTAGGGCTAGTTGCTCGACTGACACAAAAAACACCCCAACATATCTCTGAACATCAGCCCTATAAGCCTTAAGCCCCTAAGCATCTCTAGGTTTGGGTCACGGTTTACGGTTTAGGGTTTAGGGTTTCGGGTTTAGGGTATAAACACTCCCACAAGCTGATCAGACGGAGCCCGCCTCCAAGGCCAGATCGCATGGCCTCAGGGTTTGTTGGGGTTTTCGGGGCTTCGACGCCTGAAAAAAAAGATGGTTCAGGAACTCTCTTGCCAGCACCTTAGTCCCTAAGCCCTAAGCCCTAAGCCCTAAGCCCTAAGCCCTAAGCCCTAAGCCCTAAACTCTAAACCCTAAACCCTAAACCTCAAGCTTGGCCAACCCTGGGTTTCTCTACCAACATGTCGTTGCCAGGGTTCGGAAGATCTCTCACCCGGCATCTTCTGAGGGCTTCCCAGCCAACATCTCCGTTCCCCCATTCTGCTCTTAGGCTACTTGGAAGTTCTGAGTAGGGCTACAAGTGCCCGAAATAGTGTTGTAAGTATCGTTCCCCAAATTATAGCGCTACTTGTAACTACCCATGAACCCTCCAGGGTGTCGAGCTTGGGGCCCCATTCTGTTGTTAGAGAGTCTAGGGCAATTTGCCACTCATCATGCCAGGTATGCTGTTTCTCAAGCCAACATGACCTTCTGGGTTTCTCTGTCATGTTCCACTTCTGGTTGAGGTTCGAGGGTTCGGATGTTTAGGGTTTAGAGCAGGCTCGTCGCTCCCTGTTCAGGGTGCAAAAGGGGCCGATTTGGGGGTTTCCGAAAATTAGGGTGCCTGTGGGGTTCCTATAGTAAGGATTTTAGAGGTCCGTTTGGGACATGCAAATTTGGTACGTAAACTTGGATGCAGACCGCGTTCCAAAATGACCAGGCTTGCACAGTAATTTCTAAAACCCTAAACCTGACACCTCTCCATAGCGAGCTAACTCCCACAGTAAGCGTAAGCATGGAAGAACAACGGTACCAGAAGGAATAAGGGCGCACTCGGATCCTTTCGTTTACCCTAAACCATGAGGGAATGACAATAGAAGAGAGACACCAGAAAGGGCCGCCTATCATTCTGATACCCTAAGCTCGAAGGAGTGGAGCGACTACCCTTAAACCCTAAGCACTGAATCCTCTCTTACTCCTTATATATATATATACATATACATTCATATTTACTTAAAACCCTAATAAGCATTCAAGGGCAGTTGTTTTTTCGGTGGCGAGTGTCAAAAAGTTCGTGGGTAGGCTTTCTTTTTCAGTTGCCCACGAACTTTTTTGACATGTTGGGGGGCCAAGTGTCAAAAAGTCCGCGGGCAATTGTCGCTTCTTCGTGGGCAGGGTTTAGGGCCCTAAGGTTTGGGGTTTAGGGTCCTGGAATTAAAGGGTTTGGGGCATAGGATTTAAGGCCCCAGGGCATAGGGTTTAAGGGGCCCTAGGGTTTAAGGGGCCCCAGGGTTTTAGGGTTTAGGGTGCTAGGGTTCGGGGCATAGGTCTACTGCGGGCCTTGGGTTTAGGTTAGGGCCTACTGGGCTTTGGGCTTGAGAGTTTAGGGCCTGCTGGAAATTGATAGAGTGAACTTTATATGTTCTTAATGTTAGGGGATTCTGTGGGTGGGTGGGCATAATTCCGGATCACAAAAACACTGCCTGACTAGTGAATGCGTGAGGCGTGAGATGCTGAACCCTAAACCCCAAACCCCAACCCCCAAACCCTGAACACCCTAAACCCTAAACCCTAAACCCTAACCACCCTTACCACCCCCAAACACCCCCCAAAAACCCTAACCACCCCAAACCCCCAAACGCCCTAAGCCGCGTAGGGCCCGGGCCTGCAAAAACAGCGTGGCATCCTTGAAGGCGACCCCAGACTGGCAGAAGGCACTTGGGGTTGAGGATGTAGGGTGTAGGGTTGAGGGTTTAGGGTTGAGGGTGTAAGGTCTAGGGTGTAGGGTTGCGATGTTCCCGCTTATACTAACAATCCTTACTATGGATTCTAGTACGCACCCGGGGGGTAAGAGTGTTTTTTTTTTGTTGCGGGTGCTTTTTTGCTGTGGGTGCGGGGGCGCGTTTTTTTTTTTGCTGCGGGTGCGGGGGGCGCGTTTTTTTTTTGCTGCGGGTGCGGGGGCGCGTTTTTTTTTTGTTGCGGGTGCCGTGGGGGCGCCTTTTTTTTTTTGCTGCGGGTGCGGAGCGTTTTTGCTGTTTTCTCTATATTTTACTATGAAAACCTTTATTTTCTCTAATTTTCAATAGGAAAACCTCTTTCTCCTCTATATTTGAATAGGAAAACCTCTTTCTTCTCTATATTTGAATATGAAAACCTCTATTTTCTCTACATTTAGCATGAAAACCTCTAGCTTTTGTAATTTCTCTATACTTCAATTCGAAAACCTCTATTTCTCTCTATTTTATAACTAAAACCTCTATTTCTCTCTATTTTTGTCTATATCGTCATAGTTTTCCTCTATATTTAATGAGGAAGACATGAGAGAGGAATACATGAGAAACTTATTCTCTGTGTTATCTCAATATGTGACTTGCAATTAAAAGTGTTTTTGTTCCTCTTGTCCCAATTTTAATAGGAAGCCCATTATTTTCTCTGTCTCTGAATAGGCAAACCTCCATTGTCTTAACATTTGAACATGAAAACCTCTATTCTCTATATTTGAATATCAAGACCTCTACATTTTAATATGAAAACACTTTGTATTTTCGCTATATTTTCGTATGAAAGCCTCTATTTCCTCTATGTTGTCATAGGAAGCATCTAATTTCTCTATATTGTATAGCGAAAACCTCTATTGTTCTATAGTTTCTTATTTTGTCAGTATTTTCAGACTTCTTCTCTTTATTTCACGAGGAAGACATGAGAGAGGAATACATGAAAAGCTAATTCTCTATATTGTCATAAGAGTACATGCATTATCTCTATTTGTGACTCGTAGACAACAAGTGTTTTTGTTCATGTCTCATAACACAAGCTCTATTTTCTCGATTCTTTACTAAGAAGACGTTTATATCTCTATTTTTAAACGGAAAATTCAACTTCCACCATAAGGTCTGAATTTTCGTAGGAAAGCAAGCATATATTCCCTCTTTCTTCAGGGGGTTGGGGGCTGCGCAGACCGCCGCATTTGAAAACACAATGCTCGCATCATGGGTTTGGAAGGGATTCGTAAGCTTTGAAGCAGGCTTGCCGGCTAAAAAAAGCGGGGGGGTTGGGGGGGGCGCAGCCCCCCCCCATTTGCAAACACAATGCTCGCATCATCATGGGTTTGGAAGGGATTCGTATGATTGAAGCAAGTTTGCCCGGCTAAAAAGCGCAGCCCCACCCCCCCCCTTTCAAGCGGGGGGGAATGCTCTCATGATGGGTTCGGAAAGGATTCATTTGCTTTGAAGCAAGCGGCATGGCTTTAAGAAGCGGGGGGGTTGGGGGGGGCGCAGCCCCCCCCTATTTGCAAACCCAATGCTGGCATGATAGGCTTGGACAGGATTCATATGCTGAGAAGCGACCTGGCACGGTTTTAAAGAGGGGGGGGGGGTCGGGCGGGGTGCAGCCCTCCCTCCACCGTTTGCAAACACAATGCTCGCATGATGGCCTTGGGAAGGATTCAGTGCTTTGAAAACGCTTGCACAGTTTAAAGGAGGGGGGGCGTTGGGGACGGGGTTGGGGAGGAAATTGCAAAACAAATGACCTGGGGGGTGGGGAGGAAAGGGGGGGGGGGGCGTTTTTTTTTTGCTGCGGGTGCGGGGGTGCGTTTTTTTTTTGCTGCGGGGAGGGGGCGCGTTTTTTTTTTGCTGCGGGTGCGGGGGCGACACGTGCCAGGTCACTCACTCACCTGGGGGGTGGGGAGGAAGGGGGGGGTGGGGGAGGGGGGGGGGGGGTGCGTTTTTTTTGTTTGCTGCGGGTTGCGGGGCGCGTTTTTTTTTTTTTTTTTGCTGCGGTGGGGGGGCGCGTTTTTTTGTGCTGCGGGTGCGGGGGCGACACGCGCAGGTCACTCACCACCTGGGGGTGGGGAGGAAGGGGGGGGGGAGGGGGGGGGGGGGGGAGGGGGGGGGGGGGAGGGGGGGGGGGGGGGGGAGGGGGGGGGGGGAAGGGGGGGGGGGGGGCGCGTTTTTTTTGTTTGCTTTGCGGCGGGGGCGCGGTTTTTTTTTGCTGCGGGTGCGGGGGCCCCTTTTTTTTTTGCTGCGGGTGCGGGGGCGACACGCGCCAGGTCACTCACTCACCGGGGCGGCCCCCGAAAAAAGCACCCACAGCAAAAAAGCACCACGCACCCACAAAAAAAAAAACAGGGTTCCCCCCCCCCCCCTATTATCCCAAGTTTAGGGTTTACAGGATTTGGGGCTGAGAGTTTACAGGGTTGAGGGCCTGGGTGTACGCTAGTGGTCCCAAAGCCCCTAAACCCTAAACCCGAAACCCTGGACCCAAGCCCTAAACCCTAAACCCTAAAACGCCCTGAACCCTTAACTACCCTGAACCCTCAACCCTAAACTACCCTAAACTACCAACTACCCTAAACTACCCTAAACTACCCTAAACCACCCTAAACCACCCTAAACTGCCCTAAACCCCAAAGGCCTACAGCTCCAAAGCCCCTGAAGCCCAAACCCTTGCGGCTAGGAGCCTCGACCATGCACTGGCGCAGGTCCATGAGGGCCCTGTCCAGCAACTCCGCCCCCGAACGGCCGCGTATAGGGTTTAGGGTTTAGGGTTTAGGGTTTAGGGTTGAGGGTTGAGGGTTAGGGTTTAGGGCCCTTAAAGCTTCTGAAAAGTACTCCTAAATATGACCCTCTTAAACCCAATCAGGGAGAATGAACAAAATATTCGCAAGGGCCTGTCTGGCCTACAGTGCGCCGCTTTTGAGAGTGCTGAGAACAACTACTTACCATTTGCTTAAGAACCCCCCCCCCCCCCAAAAAAAATAAGACGATAATCCCTATATTACCCTTATAAGGAAGATTTTTTTGGGGGAGGGGGGTCTTAAGCAAGCGGTGGAAAAGAGACCTACGTACGTAGTGCATCCTTTAGGGAGTTGGTACCAATGAAACAAGGGGATTCTAAGAGGAAAATAGCGCTTGGCGATTGGGGGGCGTTCTGGGTCCTTTGTGGTCCTATAGGCCAGGAAGAATATACTCCGCTAGCTCTCTCAGCTAAACACCCAAAACCGGCCTGGCATGTTCAAGCACCCACATATACCTACGCACATGCACACATACATGCATACATACATACATATATACATACATGGGGGTTTACGATATTAGGGGCGACTTATTTGGGTCCTTACGAAAAGGGGATCCTAACAATTTGGAGGTCCATATTAGGGGTCCCTTATTATCGTAAACCCCCCACATGGCTTAGGGTCTGTTTACTTGCATGCATACATCGTTCTCATTCCCCGGCGTATCCTGCACAGGATGTCATACCGGAGAACGCCAAGAGGGCCCAACACCCCGAAATTAAGGAAGCTGCCCTAAACCATATAGGGATCTTGATTCGGATGTCAGGAGTGCTTCCTTGACTACATGGCATCCTTGCTTCCGGGGGCATCGGGCTCTCTGGGTACTCCTCCAAGCAGCTTCTGTGCCTGTCTTCCTTCTCTTCGGCTGTCTGGCCACCTCCGTGGCTTCAAGGCACAAGTAAGGCGCTTGGGGGTCAGGGAATATCATCTTGAGGGGCTTCTTTCCCGACAGTTCGCGGAGTGCCGCTACAGATGCTGTTGAGGGCTGGCAAGAGCTCTTTGCCGGGCATTCGTGCTTCACGAGATGCAGGCCTTTAGGTGCTCTCGCGCCTACACACCCCCTTGACGCAAAGATAAACCCTAAACCCTACACCCAAAATACCCTCAACCCCGAACCCTAAACAAACCCGAGCCCGAAATGCCCCACAGAGACCGTTGCATCATCCCAGGTCCCCGTCGAGCCTTCTGCGCCATTCCTGCCCATCTGAGAGCGTCTGAGCTACTGGAAGCCCCATGGCTGAGCTCATCCCTGCTGTAGGGGCCTTAATAATGAGAATAGGGCTGTGGAGGGCTATTATAGTATATAACTTATATAACTATAAAGGGGGGGCCCTTAAGAACGAGAATAGGGCCTTGGGGGGTTCTTCTAGTGTAACTATAAAGGGACCCTAAGGGAGGACTAGTAGTAATTATTCCGACCCCTACAGTACTCTCCCAAGTCAAGTCTTACACCTGCCTTGCCGACAGTCGACTCATGCGCGCCTCGGCATCAACTGCAGCTGACACTGCCTACGCGGCCGATTACGTGCCACAGCATTGAACAAGCAGAGAATGATTCTCAATTTCCACCAACATTCCTCAGATTCCCCAAAGGGTCCATGTACCTCTATAGTATATACTTGGGCCTTCAAGGGGTTCCCGTATAGCAGCTTTGGGGCCCAAGTATATACATATATGGGTACATGGACCCTTAGGGTTCGCCGATTTCTAAGTGTAAGATCGGATGGAACACCATGAAGCAGTCATAAGGTCTGCGCCGACATGTTCATGAAGGCAGCGTCGACGCTGCCAAACTTCCTGGCCGCTGGGACGGGCCATTTGAGGCCTCAATTTTGGGGGGTTTACGAACATAAGGGACCCCGAATACAGTCCCCAAATAGTAGGACTCCCTTATACTACGAATCCCAGTAAGGTACCTTTTATTTCGGAAACCCCCCATTTCTACTCGGTGTCCACTAGGGGACATGCTGTCCACACCTGTTGCAAGCACCTTAAGCACGCATCACGGTTTGGAAGTAAAGAACAACCGGTAATTGCGGCACTTGCTGCAGGTTCTGCATCTGATACGCATCGCCTAGAGTAGGCATGCGGATTCATCCGAATCACCACCTCGCTTTGTCGCAGGTGATTCTTGAAGTCCTCCGTTCGAACCGAAACCCTGCTCAAACTCTAGGCCCTCCAACTCATGACTCCTCAGCACGAGCTAACCCCAAACCTCCGCCTTGGAGTCCCTGAAGACTTCAAAACCGTTCAGCTGCAGGGATGGGCCAAACCCTAAACCCAAAACCCCAAACCCTAAAGGTGCGATCTCCTGTCCAGGCTCATTCGAACCCTCTTCACCAAGACCTGGCGATCAGACTGTTGACTGAAGGACTACAGGCCTGGGGGTGTTGCGCATGCAGAAGCCCAAATCCTGACCACAAACCCAAAACCCCAAACCCTAAACTGTAAGCTCTGAACCTGAAACCCCAGAACCCCAGGCCGTATAGACCCTGACCCGGTGAGGGCTGCGGCTTTCCATCAAATCCTGCTGCCTCCGCCTCGCTGCCTGGCGTGTCTGGTGGACGCTCCCTCTCCGCCTCAGAGGGCTGGGGTGGGAACGTAGGGTTACAAGGGTTGAGGACCCTAAACCCTAAACCCTAAACCCTAAACCCTAGACCCTAAACCCTAAACCCTAAACCCTAAACCCTAAACCTCCTGTAGGCCTTATACGAGAGAAAGAAAGCACCGGGACAAACCCTTAAAAGGGAGTACAATAGGGGGTACTACAATCCCTATTAAGGACCCTGTTAAGGACTGCTAGTATAAGGGGGAACATCATGGGGAACATCCCAATGCGTAAGGTTCACAGGGCTTTTGAGGACTTCTGGGGCTCTTAGGGTTTACAGGGTTGCAGGGCAAGACTCTTGGGCTTCAGTTCTGTCTGAGCAGGCACTTGCAGGGCGCCCGGCTGAGCGAGGATTTCGACTCTCCGCCTTCCTGGTGAGCATCTGGGCTTGGGGTTGAGGACCGCTTGGGATTTAGAATCCCCGGGTGTGCAGGATTTATATCCTAAACCCAAAACTTTCTTGGTGCCCCAACCAGGAAAGAAATCGAGACCCCCAACAACTTCCGTTTAGATCCATTTAGGTCTTCGCGAAGCATGTATTGGGATGCATTGGGATTGAGGGTGCCCTTTGTCAGTTCGGGTGTTGGGGGTTTAGGGTCTAGGAAACCGCGAACACTAAACCTGCCTCTCATGTACCGTTCTCGCGCATCCCCTTGGGCGTGGGGTCCCCAAGATGCCCAGAAGCCAACAAACCCTACTGTAAACTTAGACCAAACAACCTACAATCCTACAACCCGAAATCCACAACACCCTCCTTAAACCCCAGCGCACGCCTTGGCAAAGGCTCAAGTGTATCGGCTTCGAGACCAGGAACATTTGCTGGAGCTTCACTCTCCTTCTGCGATCCCGTACGAACTAGGATTTAGGCTTCAGGGTTTGGGCATCTTGTGCTATCTCCATCCTAACAAGCTGAACCAAGGCCCAAGAACAGGGGAGCCTCATGTCAATGCAAACCTCAAAACAAGGCTTGACAGAACTGCTTCCGACAACCCTTTTGGCGAGCGCCAAGCTTTGTCGGGGCATTGTCCTAGCCAGCACGCGTGCAACAAAAGCACTGCCGCTGAGGAGTCGCTACAAACAGAGCGGCGGGAACTGGAACCGCTTCTTCAAGGTTTGGGTGAAGGTCGACAAGTCGAAACTATCCCCTAAACCCCTAAACCCCTAAACCCCTAAACCCCTAAACCCCTAAACCCCTAAACCCCTAAACCCCTAAACCCCTAAACCCCTAAACCCCTAAACTCCTAAACCCCAAACCCTAAACACTGAACCCTAAACCCTAAACCCCAAACTCCCAAAGGTCGCGAGGAAAGTCCTTGGCCGGCTTGAAAGGCTTTGCGAAGCCCTGCATGGGTGCGGAGGTATCTTAGGGTAGTTACACGGCCCCTTCATATGGGCCCTGAAAAAGGGGACCCCTTACATACTACGAGTATAACCCCTTACATACTTATACCCTGTATAGGGTTTAGGGTATGGGCTCTCAAAAGGGGAGCCCTTATGTACCCCTTGTATACCCTTTATAGGGTTGGGCCCGTAAAGACCCCTTATATACCCTTTGCAACCAGGGGCCCATACTTCAGAACCCCAACTACCCCTAGAATGTAGGGGGATAGGGCTCAAGGTTTCCTAAGGGCTTTTGGGGCTAAGAGCTGCTACACGAAAGACTGGCGAGATCCAGGAAACAGATCCCCCTTATGATTTCCTACGAGTTGCCCACTGGCAGACCCTAAACCCTAAACCCTAAACCCTGAACCCCACACCCTAATTGGGGGCTCTACTCTCCAATTCCTTTCAGAAGGTCTGGGTAGCTGCCGGCTGCAATGGCGAATGAAGGCCTTGCTGTCCGTGCTCATGACGGAAACCGAGAGAACATCCTGCAGATTCCTGGCTTAGGGTTTAGGGTTTAGGGTCTAGGGTTTAGGGTTTAGGGTTCAGGGTTTAGGGTTTAGGGTTTAGGGCTTAGGGGGCAGCTGGCAACTGCTCCCTCAACTGGGAACGTGAAGAGTCCCCAGCCGAAATCACAGAGTCAGCAACGAAAGGAAGCAACCCCAAACCTTTAAAACCTCGCCTTAACCCCTCATCCCTAAACCTTAAACCTTAAACCTTAAACCTTAAACTTTAAACCCTAAACCCTAAACCCTAAACCCTAACGCTGCAACATGCCGGGGTTGCTCTATCGCTTCAGGGCCTCTCGATGGCAGGCGCGCCTCCACGTGCGGGTTTGCGGCTCAAACCAGGGCCGTTTGGGCGTTGCCAAACTCTGTCAATGTGGGGGCTTCCGAGTTTGGGGGGTACCTTATTGGGGTCCTTATCATAAGGGGATCCTACTATTTGGGGATCTATAGTGGTGGTCCCCTATTTTCGTACACCCCCCATGTTTCTGCAGTGATAGCTATGGGCTGTTGTGGCATCTTCGTCCCCGTGAAACCATGAGGGGCTCTTGTTTTGGTGGGGAGCCGACTGAGCCGGCTGTCTGGGTTTAGGGTTTAGGGTTTAGGGTTTAGGGTTTAGGGTGTAGGGTTTAGGGTTTAGAGTTTAGGAACTCAAAGTCATGAGGAATCGTTTGGCCATCTGAAACGCCTTCTGCCCACCGTCAGCTACCCTGATCCTAACGTGGCATACCTACAGTAAAGTCCAGAAAGTTGGAACATGGTTTAAGGATGATTGAAGCTGGGATTCCCTTTCGTATACCTTTTGGGGTATGGGGACAAGGATGTTCCAACTTTTTGGAGTTTACTGTATAGGGTCGTCATCGTTTGCAGGTTTACTGGGACCCAATGAGGCCTTCGGAAGATCGGTGGGAGAGCTTGAGTTTTGAGCGTTTTGGAACCGAAGGATTTCACCACAAGCCGAGTCGTCATAAACCCTAAACCCTAAATCCCAAATCCTAAACCCAAACCCAAAAGCTGGGGTGCCGTTGCAGCTCACTGTCTAGAGCCCAGAAGGCCCTAATTTGGAGTCGCTGTCGTGTAGAGCGTCTCGCATGGTCCCCGCCTCATGGCGTGAAGTGCGCATTTGCGTCTCGGCCTCGGCACCAAGCATACGAAACTGGCATGGCTGCAAGGTGCCCTGTCCCTGGCTTCTCATAGGAGCTCAGTGGTCTGCCTGGGTTACTCAAATCGATCCTGCTATCAGCTTACAGCCTCCTGCAGAACAAGCCAACATACTCTTTCGTGTCACCTTGATTATGCTGGCATTCATGCACATGCAGCCTTCGGCATGAACTAAAGCTCGAATCCCTTCCATCCAATTGCAAAGACTCCCTTGTAGGAGTCAAACCTCCTCATTTCTGAAGGGTTCTTTACAGAGGAGAAAACACGGGGACGTGATTGCTACCGTCCGTAGACTGCTACAGTCCACTCATCCACTTCATTCCAGTTCTGTGCCCCCGTGCGTCATCTGTGGCTTCAGTTCGCACCTGTCTCGGAATTGCAGGGCACTCAGGGTTTTGCAGTTTATAGAGTTCATATGGGTTGTAGGGTCTGTGTGGGCCATAGGGTAATTGGGTTGCTAGGGTGTGCATAGTTCAGAGTCTGGGCTGTAAGGGTCAGGCTGGCATGCGCAATGTCTCTGCCTGTGCACTGGCGATTGCGAGCAAGGCACTCGAGTAGGTGAAGCAACCGCCTTGGATGCCATCCGCGAAGACACCTGCAGGCAGTTGCAAGATATGGAATATTCCCTACACCTTGGGACCTTTGGATGTGACCCCTTATACTAACAGTCCTTCATAGGGATGATAATCGGGGATACTAGAATCCCCATTGAGGACTGTCAGTATCAGGGTTGAGTTGGGTCGGAACTGGTACACTGGCGTATGTTTCTCATTGTAGTTTTTCGAGTATGCTCAAAAACTTGAAAACTGATTTATAAGAATAGACGCAAACCAACGCACATCTAAATCGAAAAACACGTGACTGTAAGTCTTCTCGAAAAAGACGATCATATTCGCGCTGGTCATAAATATTAAATTTACGATGTAATCTAATCACTGGTTCTAGCATGCACAATGCTAACAATGGCGCTCCTCGCCGTCTTCCTGTTTTGGAGCTCCGACTAACCGTGAGAATGATCATAAGCACAGCCATCATATTCAACGGTTTAATTCAAGTGAGCAGCCAGCACTGAGTACTGAGCCAAGCATGGTCAAAACACAACACAAATAAACATTGTAGCTACTTTGGGCTCAGGACAGACGGCATCAAGTGCGATCTCACCTACGCCGGCCTCCGACATGGAGGGTGACCTTGGCAGCGGACTCCCCAAACCCTAAACCCCAGCCGTTACATGTCGTTGCCTTCCCTTGCACCAACACGACAAGCGCAAAACACCACGCAGATTCATAACCAGCAACCGCAACATGCCAGAAACCACGCCATCAAGGCTCAAAGATCCGAAAGGTTCGTAGAGTTGAGCCCCTCCCCGCCACCCTCCGCCGCCCCCCCGCCTCCTTCCCCCCCTCCCCCCCCTCGTGGCCCAACCAACCGTCGAGCTCCAAAACCCCAGGTCGTTGACGGCGTTGGGATTGGTTGGGGTTTGGGGTTTGGGTTGGTTTCCGTGATTTATAGGCTTCCCTGGAGGCTTATGCCCGACTTTTCTTTGGGCTCGAGGAGCAGTACCTTACTTCTCGAGCTACGATAATCGCTAAGGAAGTCTCTGGGTCGGGTGTTCTAGGGCCAAGGTAAGGGAACAAGTATCATCAAGTTTCTGCGGTTCTCTTGGCCGTGGCTCAGGAGCCCACATAGTCAACTCATCCCTACACCCCTAAACCCCAAAGCCAAACCCGAAAATCTAAACATCTTTAAACCCTAAACCCTAAACCCCAAACCCTGGTCATGAAGCGTCTCAGACCCAGGGCCTAGGCTGCTGTGGGCGGGGAGCCCCGGTGCCAACGTAGAGTGCGTCGACGTCCGGGGCGAAGGGGTCCGCTTTCTTCTGCCGACGTCGCGGACGAGAGGGCTTGGAGGCACGTGTTGCATGGGGGGAGGTTCCCTAAACCCTAAACCCTAAACCCTAAACCCTAAACCCTAAACCCTAAACGCCAAACCGAGGGTCACGACCCAACCCGTGCGTGGAACCGGCCTCTAGGTTCATCAGAAGCGAGCCTCTCCTTCGCGACTTCCCCGGGCTCACGTCCTGGGGATCACATGTTACTTAACATGGGGTTTAGGGTTTAGGGTTTAGGGTTTGGGGTTTAGGGTTTAGGGTTTCTGCAACTCAGGATCTTCCGCCTTACACTAACAGTCCCTAATTGGGCGATTAAGGACTGGTAGTGTAAGGGGGAGCATCCCAATCTGTAACAGCAATACAACTTCCGGAGTCAGCCTGTGAGAATAGGAATGATGTTGGACCCTGTTTAGTGGGGGCCAACTGACTAAAGTCAAATTGGCAGGGCTATTCAGGACACGGAAACTGTTTAGGGGTGCGCGGTGAGATCCTGAATTAATTAAGTCAAATCTTCCTAGTGTCGTAAGAAATTTCCACGCGGCGCGCCTTCAAAACCATTGCCGGGCATCGCTACCTTTTGAAAACGAATATAAGCTCCTCCCTATTCAAATCATACAACACCCCTGGCCCGTTAAAGAAGGACAGAAACAGCTTCGACTGGGAACGGAAGACAGAAATTATACGGTAAAACAAACACAGAATTAGGTTTTAAGGTTGATGTTCCCAAAACAAAGGCGGATCCTGTGGCTGACTGGAACGAATTGCGGCGACACCTCGGTAAACAGCGTCGACTGCCTAGATGCGTGACAAACACTCCCTGCGACTTCTCCACAGCTGCAGTTGGTAGTGCAAAGCATCAGCGTGACCATTGTGAGGATGGATCGATCGATGCAGCCTGCGTGTGCATTCCTGTACGCTTCTCCTGCTGGCCCACATGATGCATCCCAACGTCCCTTGGGCACGTCTTGCCCCGTCATGCCGTGCGCACTGCCACAAGCATGCCAGGTGCCCAACGAAGCTCTGCCGCAATGTTTGCGGGCCTGACATTCGGGGCATTCTGAGCTCAAGCAACCCCCTCCCAAAGCAGCTCAACAGCTCGACCCCATTTCTAACAGCAAGTCTTAAATAGAAGCTGCATCGCAGCCTCCGAACTTCGTGGATGCAGCAGTGATGAATGCTAGCTGGTGGCCCTGGACGTGTGCCCGCGCCTGCTTCGTTCCTGAGAAGACGCTCTCGATAAGAGGGCCGTGAGAGGAAGACTTGGGAGTCCAGAGAGGAGAGGTCAGACTGCACCTTCCTGGAACATTCTCACTGTCTGTGCATCGTTGACGCAGAAAGATAGCAATCAAGTGCTCACCCCTGCAGCCCGCCCGACTGCAAAGCATGGAAAAGCAGCCAAACGTCCCACAGCAATCTCTCGCCAAATTCCATCCCTAAGCCCTAAAACCCCTTAAGCTGCTCCCAACACATGGGGGTTTCCGATATTTGGGGGTACCTTAGGGGTCCTTATTACAAGGGGGTCCTATTTGGGATTCTATATTAGGCGTCCCACATTTTCGTAGAAAACCCTCTACATCTCAGGCAACCAAAGCCTCTCAGACCAGGAGACCAAGTTCCCGGCGTCGCGCTTTGGAGGCTTCACCAAGGCGCCCTCCCTCTGCTTCTGGGCCCGCTGCATCTCCTGCTGGGAGGTTCGCGGGTGCGTATAGGTAGGGTTCTAAGAGGTTCATGGGTACTTATAGGTAGGGGTGTTAAGTAACACCCAAAAAAGGGTTCTAAGTATCGCTACCTTACTTCTAACCCCTGCATATAAGTATCCACTAACCTCCCAGTACCGAAAGCTTGGAGTTCCCTCTTTTGTCCCCAAATTCTCGTCGAGCCCCATATCCCCACAAGCCAGGTTGGGGTGTGTGGGGCATGAGAATAAAAGGGGTGCGTGGGGCATGACAATAGAAAAGAACCCAAGCCAACCCACGACTTCTGGAATGGCTTGGGGCCTGTTCGGCAACTTCGTCAGGCCCATAAAGGCTATATAGGGTTGTGTTTCAGAGTTCAGTGTGGGCGGGTAGGGGCAGTGCCAAGTGCCGCATGTTGACCTAAGCCACAGAAAGACCATTCGACTCTTCGAGCGTGATGTGCTCCTTTCTTCGGGTTTACGGTTTAGGGTTTAGGGTTTAGGGCTTCTTTCAAGGAGCCTTCATGTCGTAAGCCAGTAAGTAGTTGCCACAGATTCATTGCTGTGGCCTGGTTCTCCGGCGTTCTCTGTGCACGCGCGCGCGCGCGGCAGGCAGAACGTGATGGCTGGCGTCTGGACAGCAAACGTACAGCGACAACCAGCGGAAAACGGCCTGCAGGAATGTCTGAGCTCTTCCAGCATCGCGGATAACCTGGCAAGGCAGCTGCTTATCTTTCTCTACAACTTGGGATGTTCCCCCTTGATACTAAGAATCCTTACTAGGGATTGCATTACCCCCTTATTATAATCCCTATTGAGGACTGTTAGTATATGGAGGAACATCCCGACCTGCAACCCGGAACTCCGAACCCTCAACTAAAAACGCTGACTACTTTTTGGGGTCGTTAAGGTCCTCGGACCAAAGTTTGGAAGCAACTCTAAACCCTCAGCTTAGGAACCCGACCCGAAGAAATATTATGGGGGATACCGTTTTTCTTGCGCCGGGCGGGGGGGACCGGGTCCGGGTCCGGGTGGGGTCCGGGCAGGTCCGGGTCCGGGTCCGGGTCCCTGTCCGGGTCCGGGTTGGGCCGGTCCGGGTCCCGGGCTGGGGGGGGTCCGAATCCGGTCCGGGTGCGGCCCGGCTTCTGGGTGTCGGGGTGCGCACGTCCGGGTCTCAGAAAAAGCTGTGAATATTTTGCTAAACCCTCATGCGATCATTGTGTTTGCAACTGTTAGGGGCTGCCCCCCTCCCCTACTCGCCTGCTTTTTTTAAGCCGTGCAAGCTTATATGAATCTGTTTTAAACCCAACATGCGATCGTTGTGTTTGAAAGCGGCGGGACTGCGATCATTGCGTTTGCAAATGGGGGGGGGTGCGCCCGGGCAAGTATTGCACCGTGGTACTTTGCTCCATCAGGACCTTAGGGCAGCAGCCAGTGCCACCATGCCCATCACCGGTCCTGAAGTTAGGAGAGCAACGACAACAGCAATTCCTGATATGCTGCGCCAGACATGCAGTGAACGCTTAAGACTGGCAGGGAACATGTCCGGCGGCGCAGTGCTCAACAGCCCTCCAGTGCAGCCACCATGCCGCCCTCGCTTGTCCGCCACCGGAAGCAAGACGGCTTGCGTGGGCGCCGGCGCCGCCATCGCAAAGGGCTAAAAACTAAAAACCCAAATCTCACACAACGGGCTTGATCTTCACAAATATGTCAAATCGTTGTAAGGCAATCTTTAAACCAATCTATCGTTGTAAGGCAAGAGCAAAAGGTTGAACCGCAGCGCCACTGACCGTGACCACTGCCAGAATGAACTGCAACCCCAAGCTGCCGCCGCTTCACGAGCACCTGTGTGACTGACGGAATCTCGGAGCATCCTGAGTAAACGACGAACGGCACGGGACGTTGCAAGTTGCAAATCCTGAATGCCTGGCACGGAGCCCAACATGCGGCAGCTGCTACCTGGCAACCAAGAAACATAAAGAAATCGGAACCTCCTTGCGGACTTGCGTCACCGCCTTGCTGAGCGGTAAGCAGTGGACTGTCGAATGTGTAGCCCATAGTCACTCGTAACAGCCACAGTCACATGAGTCACATGGCAACATTTGTGACTTAGGCAACATTTCGTAAACTGATAAACAAGGGACCATATTTGCACACTGACACTGACACAGGCCAGGATGCCAAGATATATGAAGGATGACACTTGTTGCCTCCAGAATCGCTGCTGCGTCCTCATCAGAATCACATCTGCCTGGGTACGTAGGCCAAAGGCAAACGCCAACCTTCAACTTCAATTTCCATTGTCAGAACGCAGATGCACAGGCAAGCGGTCAGGTTGTACATATGCGACCACGCGGCATAAAACCTGGCCCGAGACAGAATTGCTGGAGACGGCGTCGGGATGCTACCGCTTTCGAAGCATTCTTTGACTTCATTAGCAGCCTCCGGTCTGCAGCAAAACTGATCG